ATCATAAAAAATCTGAAAGCGATTGTGTGTCCATATGGGGTCAATAATTAAAGCCCCTAGAAACCTGATTTCCAATCATATGTATTTTTCTATAACATAAAATAACTACCTGCACAACAATCATAGTTAAAGCTCGTAAAAAAGACACTCTTAGGTATCATTTATTAAGTATTTAACACTCAAAAACTAAATGACCTTAAAACTGTGTTGGTATGGTTTGATCAGATGTGATAGAGTCTATAGATACCCATAATATATAGATATTTATAATTTCTATAAATACTCAACGTTATTACCCATGTCTTATCTTCAGTACACCCTACCTGCAATTATGAGAAATATGTTATTCACAGCCTCCACCCAGTTATAGTACAGTCCAGCTCCACAATAATCTCCTATAACAGCCCGCATTAGTTCAGCAATGCTGCCAAGATAAGCAAACAAGTTGATCAAAAAAAATGTGTCTCAGAACCTTTAAATGTGTAATAGCAACTCTTTTCACAGTATTTTTCTCAGTGAGAGAAGAATAAGATGAAAAGCAGATCAACCCACAGACAAACTTTACACCAAGTAACAGGAGGATCAAGGGTGTCACACTTTTGATTTAACTAGACCTAAACCCTTGGTGTCCACACTGAACAATCCAATTTTCGATGATGGACTTTACATGGATTAAATCATGCTCTACTAGAGCGGTAAGAAATTCACACAAAGGAAGCCTAAAAGAGATCCTCTCCTCTCCCTGCCTATTCACCGGGATGTAATGCAATCATTAAACTGGCCTGTGACACTCATCTAACACCAGTGTTTCCTTTGCCTGGCCGATGGCTCCGGTAAACTGTTTATTAATTTTGGCTCCAGCACAACCCCCACTATTGAACAAGCTGAGAAACAAGCTCCTCCACAGTAACAGTGGACTGACTGAACTGAGAGGTTAGGAAAGTGACAGTAAAGGCCAGCTAATGATGTTGAGCGGCAAGAGGCAAGCAAGCCAGGTTTCTTAGCAACAGTTTCTCCTCTCTGCCGACACTGGTACTGGCTATAATAAACAGATTTTGCCGTGTGTGTTTGAGTGTCTGTGCGAGCAGATATGTGTGTCTGCCTAACTGTAGCAGTTTGACAGGACAAATATCTTAGCATAATGTCATATTTTCCTTTAAATTCAATATCAATTACATATGATTTCTGTAGTCAACTTGCAGCAAGTCAGACCTGAAATTCACTGGCTGGTTTCTGTGCATGTGTGCATGTGTGCATGTGTGCGTGTGTGCGTGTGTGCGTGTAGCATCACACTCTCACCACACATGCAAGTGAAACCATGCACACATACACACAGACCAATGAAAGCATGTGAACACCAGTGAAATAAGGCACAGGCACCACTGAAACCACACAAACCCATTCGTAAAACCCCACTGTTTGCACACATCAACCAAACCCAACAGTGAAACAAACACACACACACACACACACACATACAAAATCAGCCAAAGCATACATCAAAATCCACCATGAACTACTTCAAGAAGCACAAGCTGAAGGTTTGGGAATGGCCCTTGACTTGAACATCTCTTAAACACGCTGTACATTCAAGACAACCTAAAAATATCTCAGAACTTGCCAATTCTGCTAAAGGTGGGGTTACTCAGTACTGAGCACAAACTGTATACATGTTCATGAGATAAAAAGTGACAGTGCATTCAAATTTGAAAAAGGCTTAATTATATTGTCACCTATTCACTTTCATTTAAAATATTAACAAAATATTTTGTTTGCCCAGGGGTGCCCCAACTTTTACATACAAGTGCATACAAGTCATTAATTGCATTCAGCTGCTCAGTCCAGAGAACTTACACCATCAAATCATCTTTGTTGACATCAAACTTACTGTGAAAAGATTATGAAAGTTCCTGACAGCAGCTAAGAGCTCAGTTGTGCCTTTCTCCTCTCCTCTTATGGCTAAGCGAAAGGTATCTCAACTGTATGTGAGTGAGGTTGTTTGCTGTCATGTTTGCATTTGTGCTTTCATTAATGTTGAAACAGACTTTCGGTTTGAACTATGGCACATACAGGCCATCACATTTGTGTTTGTGAGTATGCTTGGATGTTTATATACTGTGCACATTACACACTAATAGTGCAAGAAATGTATTTCAGATACACAACACATGCAGGTGCATTGCACCCTCTTCAGTTGAGACACCATAACTTCTGTTTCCTTCCTTCACAACACAGAGGGAAAGGTCAGTCCACTGGTCTAATTTATGCAAAAAATTATGAGAGGTAACTTGAATTATTTTCAATTCAGTTTTCATGAGCTGATAGCAGGAACAGGCAATCTTTCAAGCTACTGGTGTGAAAAACAAACTCCCTGTCATTTTGTTCATTATCTTAGGAAGAAAAAAAACTTTCAAAAGTCTTCTTTTATTAGGATGAAATTGTCTATTTTGGTTAAACAGCTATTAATCTGATTCATTGATTTCATTATTTGATTATTTCACTGTCTAATGAACCAAAACAATACTTTACTGTACATGTATAGTAACATTGCACATCTCTTTTCAAGATCTTAGTATTGTATAGAGACTTCCTATAGATTTTAAATCATTTTTGGCTGATACAGTCCAAATTACACTAAAAATAATAGGTGTCAAAATATACTCAGAGGTCATTAGATATACTAGCATTAGATATACCCATGCCATACCAAGAGAGGAAAATTAATCTTTATTTTCACAGAGAAAAATATTGTTTTTAACTGCAAAAAAACAACATAACATAATAATAATGCAAAGCAGAATGTAATGTAGACCTTATAAACTAACTAATGTTACTATTTATTGTATTGTGCAGTCAATTGTCTCAGAATCAGAAAGCCTTATCTTGTGTGAAAATGAAAAATGAAAGTGCTAATTTCTCAGTCTGAAAAGGGCTAAAAAATTTGAGCTTCACCCTTGATATGTGTAATCTCTAAATAAATTAAACACATAATTTATGTGATACAAACACTTGTCTGCCCTGCCTCTTCTCATTGAAATAAAGATCTCTGGTGACATCTACCATCTGAAACCAGTACTGCATATGATATTTTATGCTCTGTTTACAAATGCCCTGAGACGAACAAAACACAATAATAAAAGTTTAATATGAAATATGAGTGTGTCTGTTGCATCTACCGCCATAAATCTGTACGTCTTACTCAGTCACAAACTGCAGGTCCGTAGGAGCATAATGATTCAGAGGAATCATTTTCCTCTGAAACAATAACAAAGACAAATGCCTGCTCAATAACACTATCTACAACATTAGAGTAGTTTAGTTAATGAAATTGTAGGCTATCAAATTAACTTATTAGTAAGAAATTTGACTAAAGCAGACAGGCCGCAGTTTAAACAGTGTCTGCATGGTGACAGGTTGCTAGGTAACGCACTAAACAGTTGAGCCTGCTAAGACTAAAAGAAACAATAAAAAGTGAAGCTAAAGTGAAGATTAAAAAGAAAAACTATACACCTCCTGGTAAGTGCCCCACACAGCTCCGACAGAATCAAGAATATATTGGCATGTTAGCTCGCTAACTACTAGCATTGACAGCTACGCTACGTTAATGATAATTAACCCAGAGGAGTAAAAATTGTAGCTCATTAGGCAAATAGCAGTGAATTAGCTGACTAAAGAGCTAAACATGCATGTGAAGCCTTTATAAAATGTTTATAAGCTGCAGCTAATTGCTTTGTCACTGTTTCTAAATTATTTGTTAAGAACAACTTTTGGGTTGCCAGGTTGCGTCTTCTGTTTATCCTCCTCCTAACAAAACTGAAGAGTTTGACCTCTGACCTTCTGGAAAAGAGCTGCAGAGCATATGGATCAGAATGTTTAATACAACGCCTTAAAATATATAACTGCAGAATCAGATTATTATCAAAAACATTTTTAAATAAGTAATTGACATTTGCAATTACATATGGCTTTCTAACATTTGCTGCTGCCTCATTAGAAAGTGAGAAACTAATGACATTTTATTAATGCCTTGTACACATATAACTGCAGACTCAATGTTCATCACCCTTTATTAATGACTTACAGTAATGACAACAACTTTCTGATAACTTAAATCAAACAACAGACTTATTAGAAAATGAAAGCCGTTATTAATGACTTTACCAAAGTATACTTATGACTAAGCGGTTTCCCAACCTGGCAACCTGAGAGTTCTTGTCAGTAGCATATCGCTAATCTATAAAGAATATGTAAACAATTCATTAACTTCGGTTTTGTTTTAAAATCATATTTCTAGCAATCGAATAAATCCTGGCTGAATTTCAGAACCACGGTCAGCTCCAATTCAGCACCAAGGTCAGATCTACAGCTGTGATCAGTCCTAGGTCAGAACCACAGCGCTACAAGCACAATGTGGCAAAAAACCTCACGATGTCTTATAGACCTAGCCTATACGTTAAACTGTATAAAGACCTTCTGTATAATCTATAATACATATAGCCTATTTTGTAGAAACATCCGTAGTTTCTCATAACTCAAATAAAAGGTTCTGTTTAAATGATAATATGTTAATAATAAACAGAGGGGAACAAAAACAAAAAGCTTCAGGTGCGTAATTATGAAACACAGTTACGCAATGCTGCACAGCGACAACGCAATTTCATCAGCTTTCTCCTACCAATGTTTTGTGACATAGGTGCTACATTATCCCACATGTTAAAAGTCGCTTAACGTTTCTGTTTTCACGTTGGTTGTGGTCCTGCTTCTGTTTTGAAATCCTTGAGACCCTAAAGCAGTTTGTCAAGCGCTGCCTGTGTGAGCAAGCTTGTCTTAAATAACCAGAAAAAAAAAGAAAAAAAAAAACACACGCAGGACTTCCGGTTGTTTTAAAAAAAAATAAGATGAGTGTTTGGTGCAAACGCTAATACTGAATCAAATCAATCAATATAATTCCGACTAATGAGCTGTAATACACCATTACTATTATTTAGCCTATACTTGTTATACAGAAGATCACTACTTGCGTGATGTTTTATAGTGATGCTTGTAAGACGACGGTGAAATCCTCTTATTTCCTGTGCAATGCTGCCTCTCTTTCACGCATTAGAGGCAGCGGCTTCACACGGCTGCGCATCCCTGGACAGAGCTGTCAGGAAAACTCAAAGGCGCAGGAGAAACGCTGATATACTGCTTTCAAGTGAACACGGTTTGAACGAAGAGTGTTTATGTCTGAGGAGCCAGGGGAACGACTAAAGGTTCAGTCCTTGTCCGGGACGCGAGCGGCTTGTTGTTGAAAGCGACTTGTTCTGGAGTTTGGTGTCATTTCTTTACACTTTCTACACTGCAGGCGTTATCCAGAGGCAAAACTCCGGCTGTTGGAGTAGTTTAGGAAATTGAAGGATTATTTTTGCCCCGGGGAGACTCTCTTATAGCCTACTTCGGACTTGGTGTGTGTTGAGACTGTTGTAGGCATAGCGGAGCCGCTGCAGGAGGTGTTGCTGATGCAGAAGTGAGGATCCCGTTTCACTTATAACAGATGATTTAATTTAAATGACTGATTTGCAGGCTTGCACCCAAGACTGAAGTCTGACAGCCTACTACATCTTCCTCTGTGTTGCCATCATCTTTGTGCGAGGACTATGTTGATGAAGGAGTACCGCATCTGCATGCCTCTCACAGTGGAGGAGGTAGGTGAAGTTTTCTTGGTTTTCGTGATGTTTTGAATCCGCTGTCTGCCGATTGTCTACTCTTCAATTGCAAATCCGTGACTGACAACTAGAGAGTTGCCGTTTTTTTCAATAATTAATAATCGGTGCCACAATTTTCACTGTGAAATCAATCAATATAATTCCGACTAATGAGCTGCAATACACCATTACAATCATTTAGCCTATACTTGTTATACAGAGTATAGTTTTCACTATGGCACCGATTATTGAAAAGTTTTCGGTGATGCGCTTGTCATTCTGCAATAAGCGACACGTTGAACGCACGAGGTGCGGTCAGGCAGCCACCACGCGGTGGAGCTGCTGTTGTCTCTCTTTCAGCCCACTGTTATATGTTCAAGGGGAGTAAGACAGACTGTGCACAGCAGCAGAGCGAGCCCATGTGAATGTTATACCGTAGGTAATGAAGGACAAATCGTGCATCTATTTTACCTTGAGTGTTTGGATTGTGAGCGTACGCTCTGTGAGTGGTTAAGAGTGATGTGTGTAGATACTACAGACACACATTGCTTTCTTCCTCTGTTCACAGCTCTTATTCCGTTTCTTCTCTTCCAAACACTCCTGCATTTTTATTATTCCACAGTCACATTTTATGAGAAGAGAAGCGCTGCTACCTATGCACTCCTTATTTTTTGGAATTGAGGCTTATGCAACTGCTGCATGCACTCTACGTCCCTCTGTTTCTGAGTTAAGTTACTAAAATTTAGTTTTGATGCACATTTCGGATCGGCTTTCATTTGTAAGAGAAACATTCACACACTGCGTTTGTATTTGGAGATGGGTAGAGTGAAAGACAGAATAAGGGAGAAGAGCATCTCCTGGCTGAAGTTCCCCTCAGGTCACAGTGACACAGAGACAGCTTCAGGATCAAGTCATGCGGCAGTGCTTTGACATTTTAGGATGCAAATAAGATATTTCTTGAACATTCAGTGCTCAGCTCCCTTTTGCTTGTATTTATTTGATTTTGGCTTGATCCCGCTCCTGTCTCCCTCTCATCTGCACTATTAGTGTTACCTTTTAATTTCGAGACATTCATTACATGAACGGACACCCATGTTTCGTGGTTATACTTTTTTAAACATTGGTGGTATGTGATGTTTTAAGAGGGTGTCACAGATTTTGTAGCTGGGGCTGCATTTACTTTCCCTCCTGCTGTAAAGGCAGACAGTCTTCATTCCAGGGTTACCTGAACCTAAACAACAGATGTTCCAGCTCAAGTGTTTTATTGAGTTTAACTGTGTCATAAAAGGTTTTACACACCATTTAACCCAGTTTATGATGTGACTTTAGATGCCACTTACAGGGAGCCAGTGCACCTTGGAATAAATGTGTTACCATAGTAGTTCATCATTGCTGTGATTAAATTGTATCATAGCCAGCTGTGCTATTTGTGAAGATACAGTCTGTCTCTGCGGTCAAGCAAAGGCCATATTATTGTTCTTGGGTTGGGATAGGATGAAGTTGGAGTTATCTGTACTTTTGATCAAAGAGCTGACTAGAGCAGCTTCTGCTGAAGTCTAATGATCCTTATGTTACTGAATCATCCTGCTCAGGACCCTGAAGTCGTTTCTGTGAGTTTCATGTTTATAATTACCAGGATGCTGCTTTGTCACATCTTGTCCTAAAACTGATTGGATCCTCTATTTTGCTTCGCTCCAGTGGTGATGGAAGACAGTGTTGTCCTCTGTGGCCAGCTAAAGGCTATCACATCTGTTGTTGTGATGATAATAATCGGGCCCAACCCAATCTATTGATGTCATTGATTTGACAAATGATTATTTGTAATCTATTCATTTTCGCAGCATGCCAGTAATTGCCCAAACACACAAAGACAAATAAATCACACAGTGATCATCAGTATTTCGTGTGTGTGTGTGTGTGTAAGAGACATATGATCTCAGACACATTTAAATATGTCAACTCAACTGGAGATGACAAAACAGTAAATGTGATAAATGTGAGTGGATGGATCTCTCTGGCTGCAGGTAGAAAATGATTTTCTAATACAGACATAAAGTAAAATGAAAACAATTTACTACTCTTTCCTAAAATTGAAGCACCCGCAACCGATGGAATCTTTCACTGGTGCCGTCATCTGGACTAAATGACATATTGTACTTCCATGTACTCCTTCATCTCAGAGTGAGTATACTGTATTTTTCCTCGGATTCATGATGAGTAATGAATTGTTTAGTGCTTTGGTGTCCTGGTTATATTTTATACACTGCTTATGCAACACATCATAGGAGTCACAAAGGAGAATCTCCTTGAATAGCATTACAGCATGAGGGGACCAGGCTCCTCTTCAGATACGTGCGAGTGTGTAACTGAAGTGGACAGCTTTTCTGCACGAAGATGCCTGAATTTTATCGTCAACAGTATTAAACAGGCCTCTAAGGAGACTGTCATCTTCAAATGGTGATTAAGTTCGAGCACGGCGGAGAAAAAAGATTGGAGACACTGTCCTGATGATCTTGTCACGGCATAAGTGCGATTCAGTTGACTAGTACATAAAATATTGATCTAAAATATAGCTGTGGCACTTGTTTCTTTCCTATCATGCAACAAATATGCAGTGATCTTCACAATCTCTGTTTTGTTGCAGAGACGTTTCTGTTAATACTGTGCAGAACGTTTCTGTGGTTCATGTTTGAGATTCAGGGCAGGTATGGCTACTGAGCTACATTATCTATCCAGTAAACTGAAAGCCTAATGTGGTTTTATCAAAGTGTCTGTGTTGTGCTGTTGGTAAACTGTGGCCGAGCTGATTGGGCCTCATTCACCAATATCTTCTTAAGTATTTTCTTAAAGTCGTTCTTAAGAAAGTTCTTAAAAAAACTCTACGTCAGATTCATGAACGTGTTTTTAAACAGCAGAATTGTGCGCACCTGTGTTCTTAGATTGATGAATGCCAATTTCAATAATATAATAGGCCTGTTATGTCACTGTAGAACCGAAGAAAACGCGATTACCACTTGTTTTGCTCAAACATGTCAGCAATCAAATGTGCTGAAGAGTACTCTTGAGTATGCGTAGATTCTGTTCTTACCTAAGAACAAATCCCAAATAAGAAAACATTGGTGAATGTCAGAATCTTCGTAAAAGGTCCATAAGTGGGTTTTAAGAAGGAATTTCTGGTGTATGGTTGGAGAATGAGGCCCATTGTTCTCGGTGTCTCAGTTGTTCTGAGTGTGCACATTGATAAACCTGTCACTGATCAGAAAACATTTCGGTCTCTCTAACAGAATGAATGAGAGGGGCTAGAGGATGTATCTGTCACAGTGTAACAGGATAGGCGCAAACCCTTTCAACAAATGCTGACATCCTTTGTGATCATGTCAGTCATCTTGAAGCCACAGGAGGAAAACAAAAGTCTGCCAGAAAATAGAATTCATTGTCACATCTTTCTCTCACTGTGTCACATTTCCTTTTTAGCCAGAAAAAAATGTTTTCAAGTTAAGATCGACAAAATTAAGAAATTGAAAAAAGGATGAAAAATCTGTAAATCCGAAAAAAATGTAGTTTTTAGATATGGACTTGAGGGCACAGTAAGTAGTCATAGATGGAAGCAGATGGCTTTTGCTCTCAATGGTCTCTGGATTCTCCTGTGAAGTCATAGTCCTTGCACTGATAATACCAAGCTTCTAACAACCTTCCATGTCCTACTGCAGTATCAAAGATGGACACCTGTTTCGATTAAGGTGACATCAACCAGTCAGTGTAAGGCCAGTCTCTGGGGGGGGGTTCCATATGTTTGTTTGTGTTCCTGCATACCGAGATGCCCCACGGCACATTCAGGCCCAGACCCAAGAACTTGTTTACGTCCCCAGAGTGGAGGCTCTGTGCTCTGACTACTGAGAAGCCTGTTCCTTCGTTGTTCCCCAAGGAGCTCGTAGCTCAGCCAGACAGTGACCTGGCTCACACACACCAGATGGAGAGAAACATGCTCACTCAGATAATCTGCCAGACGTCAAACGATGAGCCAGGGAGAGAGAGAGTGAGGGAGTGAGAGAGAGAGAGAGGGAGAGTGAAAGAGAGAGAGAGTGCATGTGTGTTGAGAAAGTGATTGATCACTTTGGGTAACTGTCTGAGTCTGCCTAAGTCAGCATGATTTTGTTGTGGCCACTGTAATTGTTTTGCAGCTAGCTGATTCTCTGAAGCATTTGTATCTGTGTGCACGGAGCAGGCTACACAAATATTAGGGCAGTTTTCATTCCCACACTGTGACTAGTAATTTAATATACAAAATACACTATATTCATTGTGAACAAGACATGGTTTTGCAGCCCTGCACGCCCCCATCCCCAACCCCCCACTGAGCTCAACACGTTCAAAAGGTTCAACTTTATGCAAATATCCACTTATGCAGTGTGAGCAACAGCCAGGCAAGACAAAACTGAAGCACAGTGAATGCACTTTAAACAAAATGGAGTTAAAGCTCATAATCGCAGTCTCAGACTTCCTAATTCTCTACAACGTGTATTTAAAAAGTTACTGGGATATAAAAACGAAAAACGACTAGTGGAAACAAATTGCCAACGAATGGTATCTTTTCTATCACAAAATCAAAAAGGCATATTTAACAAAATGCAAATCAGAGTCCAATATATCTGTCAATTGTTCTCTTCAAATTTATTGTTCTTATTCCACATATTTTTTTCTAATATGCCTCAAAGCTAGTGTTCTGTGAACTAGTTTTCCCACAAGGATAAATTACTATTATCTTCAGTATGCACAACTCTACTGTAGCTACACTTCAGTAGATACAGTTATAAAAGCTTCACCCTGACATTCATTTTCAGATTACACTGAGCAGAGCTTTCACTATAGCTCATCAATTACCATACAGATTATTCTGCAATTAATTAACCATTCACTGGTTAAAGAATGGAGAGTGTCTTTTCCTGCACCTGAACAGCAGTTGAATAACTCTGACTGCTTGCTTGATCAGCTCCTGAGTA